ATGGGAAGTTATTAAGTGCCAGAGCTCATCTGATACACAAATAAACACCTCTCTAAGTTTTGACTGTTAAGACATAAAATTTAGAGATGATAGCCCTGCAGCTACACAGTGTGGGGAAAGAATTTAGGTTTTGAAGTCAAACATACCTTAGTACCTCCATTCACCAATGGGATCTTGGACATTGCCTAACTTTGCCTAACCCAGTGATTTCCAATCTTTTTCATCTCATGGTACACATAAACTAATTATTAAAATTCTCTGGCACACCAAAAATATAGTTTTTGCCACTCTGACAAAAAAAGGTATAAAAAAATAGGTATAATTTTATCCATTCACACCAGATGGCTATTGTTGTGTTGGCTGCTATCATTTTTTTTTTTAATTTAACAATCTAAGGGAAAAGAGGTCAGTGCCTCTGACTCAATAGTCAGGTATTGCATGTTTAAAAAATTCTTTTGGCACACCAATATGCCTCTTGCAGCAACTGGTTGAAAATCGCTGGCCTAACCAGTTCCCTAATTTGTAAAATGGTAATAATATGTGAAGATAATGTAAAGAAAGCACTTTGTGAATGCTTACCAAGTGTTCATTTTCTCCTTTTCTTCCTTTCTAAATGATGAGCTGAATTAACTAACTACTGAGGAAGATTTCAGACCAGTAGCCCAATACGGCTCTGAAACCCCTCAAGAGTAAGAAGAGTCTAAAAGTTAAGCTACAAAAAAAGAGAGCAGTCTGTTTCATTAACATTCCCAATGATCTACAACTGGATGGGAGCCAGACCAACCCTGATTCTATTGATTCTATGGACTGGAGCTATCCATGCGAGTATCTGTCTCACTACTGAAGCTAGAAACACCTCAAGGGAATATATGTGTTATGCCCCAATTTCAAGATCCCCAAAAGCCCACCAGGGAGCCAGCCGAGTCCGATGCAAAAGCAAAGAGTCTTTATTCGAGCTAGCTTGGCTCCCCGACCACACTCATCGACGCAACGGCAAGCCAAGTGGCAGAGAGAAAGAACTCTGTGTGGAGAGGGGTTTTATAGGGGGTTGGAGTAAGGGGAGGAGAAAGGACTGTGGGCCCTGCCGATTGGCAGGCGCAAGTCGGTGTCTTGTTACAGGATGTGGTCATATCTATGGTGCTCACTTCCCTTGATTGTCATTGGTTAGTTTAAAGAAGTCCTGGGTGTGGCTAGCAGAGGCTTGGGCTTCCGGGAAGAAGCCTTGCCGAGCACATGGCTGCCCAAAAATGGAGGATCCAGGGTAAGATTTGCGGCAGCAGTCTCCGGTGTTTACCTATGCCGCCATCTTGGTCTCTCTAAAATTGAATGATTTTTATCTTCTCTCCCCACCAATTAGTCCTGAAATACCATTCTCTTTAGCTAATTTTGGACCCCTCTAAGGCTTATTCATAGGCCAGCTTTCACATTTTTGTCCCCATTTTATACCCACAACATGCATCAAATAAATTTACATTGGCAGTAACAAAATAGTCACAGGGTGTCGAGTAGGAATCCCTCCACGTTCTGTGTGGAGTAGGGTTCGGTTTCTGAAAGAGGGGCCGCACACAAATGAGAGAGAAATGACATGAGATAATTTTGAAATATTGGGGGACCAGGCGGGCAAGTCAGGAAGGACTTCCACCGATGCTCAGGCCGCTCCAACCTTTTATTTGATCTGGGGTAGCCCTAGGGTAAGGAGGTTTCAATGACACACAGATACTATCATGATTAAAGGTAGGGAGGTTGCTTCAGCTACCATTATCTAGATTAACTGGGTGGTGCACAGCCCTGACCTTTTCTAGGACTTTCAAAGGATACTAGCTTTTGGGGGTCTCTGTCTATACTCAGCTAGTGAAGACAGTAAATGGTTTCCTGCAACAGGGATGTAAGATACAGCATAGGTAACATAGTCAATAATATTGTAATAACTGCATATGGTGCCAGGTGGATTGTTTGAAATACCAGGGGGATCACTTTGTAAAATCTATGATTGTCTAATCACTATGCCTTTACCTGAAACTAATGCAAAATAATATTGAATGTCAATTGTAATTGAAAAATACAAATTTTTAAACTAGTTTATGCACAGACTGTTTCTACTGGAGTGGGCCAATTGGGGTGAAAAGCTAAATTATGCCTGTGTCCTAATCTATGTTGACACAATTTCACTGGTTAGCTATCTCCATTCAACAGACCCTCTGTTTTTTCCTACAAAGCCTTTTGTACCTAAGGATAGAAGCAAAGTGTCCTCATGTCAAGATGGCTCACCAATCTGAGATATTCTTTGAGCTTTTTGTAGCATTTAGCTCCACATGCTATTTTTTTTTGGGGGGGGGGGGGGGGGCTGTCCCTTTGACCAAATTAGAGATAGAAACTTGGTCCCTAACAGTGCCCCAACTGTGTAAGTGACTCAACTCACCACCCATTAGCTGCTAGCAGTATTTCAGCAAGTTCTGTCAGCTATAGGTAATGGGGAAAATGCTAACCACAGATTTGCCTTCTTTGCTTTATTATTATTATTATTATTATTATTATTATTATTTTAGAGAGAGAAACTTTGATTTGCTGTTCCACTTATTTTTTAGAGAGAGAAACATTGATTTGCTGTTCCACTTATTTATGCACTCATTGGTTGGTTCTTGTATGTGCCATAACCAGGGATTGAACCCGCAATCTCAGTGTATCAGGACGATGCTTAAATCAACTGAGCTATGGGGTCAGGGCAGATTTGCTTTCTATAGGACTTTATGTCATCATCATCATCATCACCACTACCCCCCACTATTCTAATCTGCTGCTTGTTCACCTAATAAGGCCTGCACAGAAATGGAAATGTGGTCATTGCTTTATCAGTTCACAAGACTTCCCTACAGACTCCTGGAAGTTCCCCTTCAGTTTTTTACAGACAGGGAACCAACAAAGACATCCTCCCTCCCCCCTCTTCCTTAATCCACATTCTTTATTTCCTTCTTCTTTCAGTTCCTTCTACCAATTCACAGCAATTACTCTCTCTCTTATTCACTCAATCCTCAATGACTGTTGATTCTTAGTAGTACTAGGACAGGACAGCCCAGACTCCCAGGAACATCATCAGGTTGGGTAGATTCTGAGTCAGTATTGTATACATTAATGTGTGTTGTGCCTGGTTCAGCTGGACTATGCCACGATAACTCACTCATCCTAAGAGTACCGATGACATTATGTTTGTAACATTTAGTTTATTCTTATCATACACTGATTTTCTAGAGACATCTCAGTCATCCCTATTGAGACATACAGATAATGTAAGCTCATAGTTGTCCTTTGTTTCTTTATCTTGCCTTGCAAGCCACCAATGCAATATTTCCCAGCCAGCAACATAACCCAGGAAAACAGTCTTGTTAGACTCTGTCCACTTGCCAGGAGAGGGAACTTCCTCACAGTTACTGTAGCCTAATTGGTTGCTTCAGAGAAGTCATTAAACAAGAACATGGAATACAGCTCTCAGGTTTTATCAGAGCTGTGGCATACACTGTAAATGACCCATCATAAGGACCCCACCCCTCTCTCTGGTCCCAATAAGGCAAAGGTTAAGGTTCATCTCCGTCTGCCACATTCTATTTCCTTCTGTCCAAGCCAGGACACAACCTCTGGAGCCAACTGGTTCCTCTCTCGGCTGGCTCGAAGAACAATATTCTTTTTACAGTGTTGAATGGTTAAGTCATACGCAAAGTAGGTGCCCAAGAAATACTTATTAATGATCACGACTCAACTATTCAGGTAGTCATTAAGCTATGATTGGCTACCCGTAGCCCCTATTTTACCATATCCTCCCAGAGAAAGCACTTCCATCCCTTTCTACAAAGTCAGCCACCACCACTACACTCCGCGGGGAGGGCAGTCAGCCTGGAGCTCCTGGACTTTCCTGGGGACTATTCAAAACCCACACAGCTCGGGTTCATGCTCCATCTCTCTCCAAGAGCCTGTCAGGCTAATCCTAACGTGCCTCGAATTCCCATTTACCTCGGTCACTGCCAGAACAAGCCATCAAGCCCAGCCGGCGTAGCTCAGTGGTTGGACACTGACCTGTGAACCAGGAGGTCACAGTTCGATTTCCCGTCAGGGCAATATGCCCAGGTTGCAGGGCTTGATCTCCAGGTGGGGCCTGCAGGAGGCAGCCAATCAATGATTCTCTCTCATCATTGATGTTTCTATCTCTCTCTCCCTCTCTGAAATCAATAAAGATATATTTTTTAAAAACTAAGCCGTCAACATTGTATACTCATCCCAGTACCCTTGAGTTCCTAACCTGGTCTGAAACGCCCCCTCCCAACCTCCCCAAACTCTTCCACTGTACCCTTTGCAACTCCAAATCTGTCACCCTCAAAGGTTGTGGCAGCCCCCTCCTCTTTGAACATTCCTGCCACCTCCTGGAAGTAAATGAACCTGGTTGCCCCACTCACCACATCTTCTGAGCAGTCCTCTCAGGTAGAAACTGGTTTTACTTCTCCCCTCATATCCCATGCACCCCAGGGACAGGGGGTGTAGTAAATGTCCTGCTTGCCATTTCCAAACTATTTCTTTACTTTCCTTCTTCTAAACGTACAGCTCCTTTAAAGTCCTCAAGCCCTTCCTTTTTCAATCACTAAATACTAGTCCCACTGACTACCTTTCTGTTCTTCTAGCATATTTTGTGTACAGTCCATTTTTCTATTTTATCTATAGCAGTATTAAATTAGGTCAAATATGCTGCTGAAATCAAGGTACAATATGCTATTATTTAAGGCAATAACTCTTTTATTGATTTTTAGAGGAAGAGGAAGGGATACACACACACACACACACACACACACACACACACACACACACACACACTAGAGGCCTGATGCACAAAATTCGTGCAAGGGGCTCAGCCCTCACAGCTGCAGCAGCTGCCTCAGCCCTCGCTAAGAATATTTGCGGGGAGACCTCGGTAGCGCCAGGCAGCAAGCCCTCGCCATTTCCAAGCGCCTGCTTTTAAAATGGCAGGGAAGACATACAAACTACTAAACTGTGACAAGCACAAGTCTATGTTGTTGAAGAATGGACGGGACCCGGGGGAAGTGAGACCAGACATAGCTCACCAGAGTTTACTGATGCTGATGGACAGTCCCCTGAACCGAGCTGGCTTGCTGCAGGTTTATATCCGTACACAGAAGAATGTGCTGATTGAAGTGAACCCCCAGACTCGAATTCCCAGAACCTTTGACCGCTTTTGTGGCCTCATGGTTCAGCTTTTACACAAACTCAGTGTTCGAGCAGCTGATGGCCCCCAGAAGCTCTTGAAGGTAATTAAAAATCCAGTGTCAGATCACTTCCCAGTTGGATGTATGAAAATTGGCACTTCTTTTTCCATCCCAGTCGTCAGTGATGTGCGAGAGTTGGTCCCCAGCAGCGACCCTATTGTTTCTGTGGTGGGGGCCTTTGTCCATGGCAAGCTCAATGTGGAGTATACAGAGAAGATGGTGTCCATCAGCAACTATCAGCTTTCTGCTGCTCTAACCTGCGCAAAACTTACCACAGCCTTTGAGGAAGTATGGAGGGTCATTTGACAGTAGGACCTTGCTCTGAAAGAGAGACTGTTGACATTGCATCCCTTGACTCTTCTAACTCCCTGTTGGATGATGACCTTCCTGAACCAAGACTGGGGTTAGTGGAAGCCAAGGCTGAATGTACATTTGCTATTTGTTTATCTTATAAACACTGTTCTTGCAAAAAAAAAAAAAAGAATAATATTTGCTTTATTGAAGCTATTTTAAAATTATAGCTATTCTTTTATTCTTTCCAGTTGAAAAGTATAAGTTCAGTAGTTTTCATTTTGGTCTTATCTTTAAAATGAAAAATTTAATAAAGCAACCAACTCATGTCAATTAAAAATATGAATAATAAAATGGCAATAAATACATATCTATCAATAATTACTATAAATGCAAATGATTAAATGCTCCTATCAAAGGACATGGGTGGCTGAATGGATAAGAAAACAAGGCCCTTATAATTGCTGTCGACGAGACTTGATTCAGATGGAAAGACACACACAGACTGAGAGACCTTCGGATGGAAAAAGCTATTTCATGAAACAAAAACAAAGAAAAAGCTGGGGTAACAACACTTATGCCAGACAAAATAGACTTAAAAACAGAGGCTACAACAAGAGACAAAGAAGGACTGCAATTCCACTTCTGGGTACTTATCTGAAGAAACCCAAACACTAAATTGAAGACATATGCACCCATATATTCATTGTAGCATTATTATTATTTTTTAAAATATATTTTATTGATTTTTTACAGAGAGGAAGGGAGAGAGATAGAGAGTTAGAAACATCGATGAGAGAGAAACATCGATCAGCTGCCTCCTGCACATCTCCTACTGGGGATGTGCCCGCAACCCAGGTACATGCCCTTGACCGGAATCGAGTAGTACATATGTTACTCAAGGTTCTTGGAAACTCCATAAAAATAATATTCAAGTGAGAGGTTTATTAAAAAGTTCATGCAGCCCTAGCCGGCTTGGCTCAGTGGATAGAGCGTCAGCCTGTGGACTGAGGGGTCCCTGGTTCGATTCTGGCCAAGGGCACATGCCTGGGTTGCAGGCTCGTTCCCCAGTGGGGGGTGTGCAGGAGGCAGCCAATCAATGATTCTCTCTCATCATTGATGTTTCTATCTCTCTGTCCTTCTCCCTTCCTCTCTGAAGTCATTAAAGAAATATATTAAAAAAAAAAAAGTTCATGCAGCCCTGGCCAGGTGGCTCACTTAGTTGGAGCACTGTCCCATAAACCAAAAGGTTGCAGGTTCAATTCCCCTTCAGGGTGCATACCTAGGTTGCAGGTTAGATCTCTGGTTGGGCACATATGGGAAGCAACCATTCAATTTTTTTTTTCTCTTCCCTTTCCGCTCTCTAAAAATCAATAAAAACATACCCTTGGGTAAGGATTTATACAAAAGCTCATGCACAAAAAGAAAACAGCATCTGAAGAGAGAAAGAAATGGCTGTTGCTCCCTGAACAAAGGCAGGGAACAGTTTTAAAATTGAGGCAGGAAAGATGATGTCTGAATGTGACATCTAAGTATGTAGAGGTAGGAATTCTTTGAAGCTTGTGCAGTGGAACTACACACTTCTTTTTGCACCCAATGTTTCATTAGTGTATTAACTATCCACCCAGCAGTGTGTTTTTTACTATTATAATGAGGGTAAGGTTACGCAGCAGTCATTCTGGGGCTAAACTGCACTTTCATAAGGGATGGGGAAGTCTCTTTGCCTGATAAGGCGGTACCTTGTGATTTCTGGCACCATTCTGTCTGGCCACTGATTGAGTGTAGGATTTGAGGGGCTACTGATGAAAATTCTAATCTTATATAGAAGAGGCTCAGTCTGTCTCAGGTAAGTAGAATGGAATATGTCTCAGCCATGAAAAAGAATGAAATCTTAACAAAGGGGACATTTGTATATTTTCAACAATAAAGATAAATTTAAAAATAAATAATCAGTCTGTCGGTAAGTAGAATGGAATATGTCTCAGCCATGAAAAAGAATGAAATCTTAACAAAGGGGACATTTGTATATTTTCAACAATAATAA